AAGGTTTGTTGGGTCTATGCGAAAATGCATGCAAACTCGCGGTTTACATTTTGTGTTTTGCAGTTTTTATGGGCGTTTGTGCGTTTTTTGCAGTTACATATAAGAGAAACAACTCTTCATGTCCTAAGATAACCTTTCATTAATCATGAATTTATATAACTTTCTAACAGGAGACGGGTACTCCAGCTAGTGTAACAATATATTATTAGTTAAAATTTCTAGTACGATATTTATCATTAATGTAATTATTACTTACAACGGTCCCTTTTACAAGCAAAAAATTGTATGTGTGAGTAACTTGGTCGATTTCAACAGGAGTTAGGGTGGCGAAGAAGTTAGAAGCTCAAAGTGAAAGTTAGGGTCTTGTCAACGTAATACTTTTAATCTTTTTATTTTTCGAGATGGACCTATTTTATTTCCTATTTATAATCATTAACCTGGTAAGTTATGCAACTCTTACTTTTTATAAAGAACTATGTTAAGCTTTCTAAAAGTATGGAATAATTACTTTTATTAAGCATTTAACATTTTAATTTAAGGGCAACTAGTATTACTATTAGTAATAATATTGTGAGTATTACTGATCCGATCGTCTAGGTAGAAACGTGGAACCTGTTTAGCTAACGTTAATACGAATTCATTATTTTCGTACTCGTAGTGATATATATCTAGTTATGAACTTTGTACCCACATGCTGCTTGCCGTAGGTTGCTAAGCCTTATCAAATTTCGCACGTGGAAGCTGTGAAACAATTTTTTTAGGTTTTGTATATACACTTGAAATAACCAAAAAAATCATAAATTACTACATTAATATCATAGAATTACACTATAATTCATCAAACTTAGTAACGAAGCTGAATTTGGGTCTAAAAAAATATTAAATATTGAGCCGAGTAAAAACTCAACTTACTAGCTTGAATTCTTGTATTGAAAGGAAGAGTTGATGTCATAATCCTTCAAAGTGGCTGAGAAAGCCACTACGGGACATTCTGAGCTTTCAACTGGTTATGCACGTCATTGACAGAAGTATGTGTACATAAGAAGTGTTTCCAAAAATGGAAAGAGGTGGGCAAGGGCCACTGTGTGTTTCTATACATGAGCAAGTAGAAAAGATTGGAGATTCTTATTTTATATTCTAGCTTGTCAATATCAGTAATTTGAGTTACTAATTCATAAGAAACTATAGACCTTGTACTTGGACATCACAAACATCTAATGCGAACCAGTACTGCATTTAACATACTACATGATACACAAAAATTGATATTTAAGTGTCTTCTTTTAATATCTACTTTTAAACTAAGAAATTAACTAATGTATAATACTAAAATTTAAATTACAATCTACAATTTGATACCAAATTTATTGACATAAATTCATAAAATAGTAATTCAATAAAATTCTGAATGCATGTCAACAAACACGCTGACATGACCTTTGACCCGTGACGATAGGGTTAACAAATATAACTTTGAAACCCTCAAAACTTTTCTGTCTACCCCCCTGCCACTCCCTCAAAGCTAACTGCCCCCTTAACTTTAAAAATACCCAGGTTGGGAAACACTGGGCTACAACATCTACTTTATATATAGCATTGTTTGTTGTTTTTTTTAAGATAGAGTTAGTGGTTTACTAAATAATTTGAGACATATTATTTTATATTATTTGAGGTGATAGAATGAGCACTTTGTACAAGTTTGCAAGTGAAGAGCTGCACAGCT